CAGTGCTGCATTCAACATACCACGCGACACACAAAAATCAACGTTTATCTGTGTTTTTAATATTTACTTCTAAATTAAGAAATTGAGTAATATATAGTACTAAAATTTGAATTATAATCTACAGTTTGACACCAAACTTATTGAGATAAATTCATAAAATAGTAGTTCAATAAAATTTTGAATGCGAGTCAACAAACGAGATGACATGGCCTTTGACCTGTGACCCGTCTCGAAAGGGTTAATAGCTAAAAATGAATTTGTCCTTTGTTAAATTTTTTTTTTTGGATAATGCCAACAAATCCTTGCAAAGCAAAAACTTATTATTTAATGTAAGGTAGAAGAGTTACGAACTAGCCACTTCTTAATGTGTTTCTGAAATCAAAAAGCCAATTAACATAACTTAGTATTGTTAATTAATTAATCTGTAAAATTTAATGAAGCAAAAACAAAGGTTGAGAACACTCCAAACCTGATAGCTCAGCTATTCAAACCATACTTAGTTCATAATTAAGTAGGGTTGAATTCTTTGTTTCATCCCTCCCCCCCATACCAGAATTTATGTTCTACGTTATAACTACTTACCCTTCTCCTGTAAGAGCACAGCATGCTTGAATTCGCCATCTATGTTTCTTTAAAGAAGTAAGTTTCAGTTGTTCTGATATTTCAGCTGGAGTCATGCAACCTTTCAGGTCTTGTTTGTTAGCGTACACTAATACACATGTGTTGTTAAGTTCCTATAAAAAAACACACTAATACAGTTGTGTTGTTAAGTTCCTATAAAAAAACACATTAATACAGATGTGTTGTTAAGTTCCTATAAAAAACACACTAATACAGTTGTCTTGTTAAGTTCCTATAAAAAACACACATTACTACAGATGTGTTGTTAAGTTCCTATAAAAAAAAACACATTAATACAGATGTGTTGTTAAGTTCCTATAAAAAACACACATACACTAATACACGTCTTATTAAGTTCCTACAAAAAACACATTAATACAGATGTGTTGTTAAGTTCCTATAAAAAAAAACACATTAATACAGATGTGTTGTTAAGTTCCTATAAAAAAACACACATTAATACAGATGTGTTGTTAAGTTCCTATAAAAAACACACATTAATACAGATGTGTTGTTAAGTTCCTATAAAAAAAACACATTAATACAGATGTGTTGTCAAGTTCCTATAAAAAAACACATTAATACAGATGTGTTAAGTTCCTATAAACAAACACACTAATACAGTTGTCTTGTTAAGTTTCTATATAAACACACATACACACTAATAAAGTTATCTTAAGTTCCTGTTAACAGGAGTATTCTATGCAATACCCTCCATTTTTTCCCTAATTCAAGTAATATTTACATTTTGTACTGAAAACAACTTTTCAAAATGAGCCTATTCTAAAACTTTAACACGTACAACTTTAAACATAGGTTAAAATAATCATATTTCATGAATTTTACTATTTAAATTATTGTTCAACACTCAGCATTTCCCCATGAAGTAATTCAAAATGTCATTTTATACAATATTAATAATTTATATTAACAAAAACTTGTGCTTTGGATGAACTTTAAAAAACACATGAATCCGTATATAAACCAGAAATAACAAATTACAAGTAGCATAAACCTTACACGGGTCAGTAGTTCCACCTGCTTCATCGGCTACTCTTACACGACAAGGACAGATACGGACTTTAAAATTAGACAAGTGACTCAAAACCTAATGTTTACACGAAGAAATTTTACAAGATTTGCCCGGCTCAGATTATTTTACCTCCGATTTAAAGTAAAATGTTATTTAAACACGGGAGATCTGGAAAGTTCTTTTACCTTTAATGTATTAAAATAATGTCTTATTCTCACCTCATGACTTAACATTTTCCATAATTCTTCTTTGGTGACTGGTAGTTTCTCTCTATCTGTGCTGTCTACCACAACTATGAGAAACTGAAACACAGAAAAATGATAAGCTACTTTTCCCTTTGTAGACTTATGTTGTATTTATCACTGTCCTTCTATTACTATGGTTGTGTTTTAAACTTTGCATGTGACACTGAAATACAGGTTTGTTCTGTTAATCTTACACTTCTAGCTTTAAAGAAAACAACAGCAACACACTGAAACACAGGTTTGTTGTGTTAATCTTACACTTCTAGCTTTAAAGAAAACAACAGCAACACACTGAAAACAGGTTTGTTGTGTTAATCTTACACTTCTAGCTTTAAAGAAAACAACAGCAACACACTTGAATGGACAATGTTTAAACAGATTAAAATGCTACATCACATTGTACTGATTTGAGAAGAAACACATATAACTGACAGATTACAACAAATTCTAAACACTGCACAGTTTACAACAGTTAATCCTTTTTTGATGTTCATTCTAATAATTTTTAAAAAAAGTTTAAGTTACATTGAAATTATTTAACTAGAGAGTATCCTTAAAGATATAAAAGTTACTTTGTTTTGGAACAATTGATATTTAAAACAAAGACGTTTTACACTATTCGTGATTGGAAAGTGTTCTTTATTATACACATCTTAGTGACATCTGTAGCATAAAGTAATTATAATATTCACTGTACTGATCACACACTAACCATCAGTTGAAGCAATAACTATTTTTATGTACCTTTAAATCTCAATTGTATATTGTATTATTTTGACATTAAAAGTCAATTACAATAATAATAATAATATTTAGACAAAGCCTTCTCTGTTTACCCCTTGAAAAGATCTATCAAAGTACTTGGGTTATCTCTGTTTACCCCTTGAAAAGATCTTTCGAAAGTACTTGGGTTCTCTCTGTTTACCCTTGAAATGTAAATAATATTTGGTATGTGCCCAATAAAATATTGGTGTCAAACAGATTGTTGAAATTTCATTGTACATCTTTACAAGTTCATGTCACTGCCATACTAAGCTACCTATACAAGGATCCAAATTGTGTCCTTCTAAATCCATTTAGCTTCATGGGAGTATGATCCAACTAAATGTCAATGTTCGATAATTCTTTACTTTCTATCCTTGGCTGTATTTGATGGTCTGTAGCTTTATTTATAAACAACTGCATCACAACTACAAATAATTGAAAACACTGATAACGTATATTTTATAATTTGATGACGAAGAACACGGTTTTTAGAAAATAAAGTTTGGAGACAGCTTGAATGGGTAGTGAAAGAATCTTTAATAGAAGCTTATCTCATCATCAGGTACAAGTAGTTAAAACAGACACAGGAATATACACACACACTTACAGTATGTAACAAAGAGGTCACGTGACCAGAGATTACTTAACAGCTTAGTAAAGGTATCTTGTTACCTCAGAATGTTGGCTCAGAGTAGACAAACAAAGCAGCCTTTTTTATTTTGATGTTGATGTTTGGTTCTTTGATTAAAATTGTATTCTATTATATTACACTCTAGTTTACCAAACAACAACAACAACATTACACTCTAGTTTACCAAACAACAACAACAACAACATTACACTCTACTTTACCAAACAACAACAACAACAACATTACACTCTACTTTACCAAACAACAACAACATTACACTCTACTTTACCAAACAACAACAACATTACACTCTACCAAACAACAACAACAACATTACACTCTACTTTACCAAATAACACAACAATACACTCTACCAAAC